TCGTGGGCTCTTAAAGACTGTAGCTTTAGGTCTATCAGATGTGGAAGATTTGCACTGCACTTCATCTTCATATAATTCTGCCAGGGCCATCTGTAAATCCCGCGCGCTCGGAGGCCGCGGCCCGGAAGACCTCCTCTCCGCTCCATCTCTCTCTGCGCGGCCGCCCTCCGCCATCTTCCGCCGCCTTGCGGCGCCCGCCCGGGGCGCGCTTCCCTCGACTTCCGGGACTGGCTGCCTAGCAACAGCGGGAAGAGGCGGGGTCTCGCCGTGGACCCCCGCGGAGGGGGCGGAGCCTGCAAGGTGCCTGCGCGCGCCCGCCCCGCCCGGCCGCGCGTCCGCGTCCCGGTGGGCGCTCCCCTGTCCCGCTAGCTGTTTTCCTACGCGAGGTTGGCCCGGAGACTTTCTGTGCGTGTCGCGAGTTCGCCCCGCTCCGCGCGGGAAGGCAGGTAGCCTGCGCTGGAGGGAAGAGTGGACTCGCGGGCTCCTTGGAGGCAAGGCGAAGTCGTCCTCCGGATATTGTGTCAGACACGCCCGCGGCCTCTGCTGTGGTTCCCCCGCGCTGCGTGCGCCTCCTTCAGGGCGGGAGCTGGTTCCCAGCGCGAAGAGCCCGCGCCTCTGCAGCTCTCTGCGCCCGGCCGGAGCCCGCCGAGCCTGCCCACTGCACTGGGACTGACTTGGAGCTCCGGTCCTCCCCAGGCCTGCATGACGCGGGCTCGCGGAGGCGGAGGGAAATAGCCGCAGGGGTAAGCGGACTTACGGCCCCGCGGGGAAAAGGACGGCGCGACGGACGCCCGCAGTTTGCGCGCAGCCCCGTGGGAGGTGTTATGCCAGGAGCGTGGGGAGCAGAGGGGAGTGTTACGGCTGGCATCTGAAATGCCTGCACAAGTCTCGCGTGTCCGGGCGCTCTGCGGCCCTCGGGGTGCGCTGCTCACCCCCGACCGGGCCGGGGCTGGGCGCGCTGCCGGGCGCCGCGGTCGGGGCACGTGGCCCGGCAGGGTGTGCTCTGGCCCTCGCTCCCTCCCTCGTCTCCTTGTGCCCGCTGTCCGGGCTCGAGGACTTTTCCTCCGCCGCGCTCCTCTGCCTCCTGTTTCCGCCGTGGACTGAAGCTGTGAGCCGAGGTGGACCTCCCCGTTTCTGAAGCTGGAGTGTCTGCTGGGTATTTCGTGCCAGCCGCGGGGACGTAAGGCGAGGGACGATCCCCGGTGCCTGCTGCTGCCTGCGAGTGCTGGAGTTCAGCGCACGCCGCCACAAAGTATGCTGCTTACCTGTGTTGCTTGTTTTAAGCTAAAGACACTTGGAAAACAGCAGATGCAAGATCACTCTGACTTTCCTTTTCCTTTCGGAAGGAGAGAAGCTGAACTCCCGTGTGAAAGATGTCCTTCCTCTCCTAGGTGGAAAGAGAGCTTACACCGTAGACAGGGAGTAGAGGGTGCGGACCTCTTTGAACTCGCCCAGACCTCCCTATTTACTTTTCCACGGTTGCCATTCTTTGTTCACCAGTATATAAACCAAGCCATTATTCCCCATTTTCCTGTGAGGACACCCAAGCTAATGCAAAACTGTCATTTATTTATTTATTTATTTATTGAGGCAGGGTTTCACTACGTAGTTCAAACTGGCCTTGAACTCACTTTGTATCCCAGGGTGGTCTCAAACACATGGCGATCTTCCTGGCTCAGCCTCCGGAGTGCTGGGATAACAGCATGCACAATCACACCGGGATTATGTAAAACTTTTTATAAAATAAAATACCCCAGGTTTTTTCCTGTTAACTTGTTTATCTCAGTTTAATTTTTAGTCCCAGCAGGAGACTCAGAGAATAGGGGAGAATTTGTTTCTTCCTTACAGTTTACTGCATGTATAATCTAATTCATCACTCTTCCGGGTAAGCATTTTGTAACCATATTTTACTTGAGGCAATCAGGTGACGGCAACTAAATTCATCGTGTGGTAAATGGCAGCACCAGATATTAATACAGCAGTTCCTGTCTCTTCATTAAAAAATTCCCCGTAGAACTCAATGCCAGCTGAATCTTAAAGGGAAGATGCTTGTGGTAGGCAGCAGACCAGAAAGGAGCACAGTAAAGGCAAGGGTATGTGCCAGGATGCAGAGGTTGAAATATTACATTCATGTCAACAGAGAGCTGCACAGGTGAAGTTTAGAGGGAGGGAAAGATGGTTATGGGTAATGGAATGGAGACAAGTCCAGATCAGTGGTGTAGTCTCCAAGCAGACTGTGAAGGAGTGTGGACTTAGAATAAGTGAATAAATGGATGGATGGATGAGGAAAATTGGGATCCAAAACCCAGACCCAGGTTTGACTACCCCGAAGCTCATTTCCATTCACTGAAAGTCAGGAAATAACAAGATACATCAACAGAGATATTCCTCAGACAGATAGAGACAGAATGAAATACAGACTTACACATTTTGGGATTATAAACTATTCCCAACTCCAACTTAACAATTTAAATGGAATTCAAATTTATATAATTTTACTAATTGTGGATGCCACTGAAGCCAAGATCGGAGGTCATTGTTAATGTACAGTGGCTTTGTTCCATCCCTTAAACTGTTGTTTTAAAAATGTTTGTAAAATATAGAATGCTTACAGTTGATAATTTTCATGGATTGCATATGTTATTTCATGTAATCTACAAGTCCTTTCTGGGTTACCTGTTGTTCAATATACAGAAGTAACTGAAGAGAAAGGAAATAGGACGACTTCCTTCTTGTCACTCAACTATTAGGTGGTAGAATTAAGTTTTAAATTCAAGTCCACCGCATTCAAAAGTACACAGTGTTCTCTTTCTACCGTCTCTGGGTCTCTCGGGGGCTGTGCTGTAGCTCCTGACTTGGTGGCTGTCCCTTTCCTGAGATTCCCAGGGCACTTCTCAAAGCTTCTTCTTACCTACTGACCAGTCCCTTTGAGCATCCCCTAATATGTCGTCTTCTGTCCACCTTGCCAGTGGTGATGTTCCCTAGGGTTCTTTCTTCAGCCTTCTCTTTTTCCTCACTGTCTATGCTTTCACTGTACACTGTTACCTACTTTTATTTCTACCATGTACACTCAGCTGATTCTCATGATTCATAGTAGTTACGTTTCACACTGAGAATACTAGACGTTTGAAAACTAAATGATTTCTGCTGTCATGTAACTTAGATTCCTGTGAGCCTCTGGTGACATTTCATCGAGTGGTTAGTATATAACATTCTTTCATGTCTGTTTCTGTGTGAAGACAGCTTCCTGAATACATATATTGACTCATTAACATTGAATTCATAGCCACCAGCGCCGTAACTCATTGCCGAATGAAGCTTATCTAACACACACATTTTCTCTAGGCACACCTGCTTAGGAACACGAGGCAGCGCTTTAACCCCATCTATGCTTGTGAGTCATTTTGAATATCAAAATCACCAAAGAAAATCACAAAAATGAAAAAACACGGCACTAAATTGACCACAAAAAGTTTCCTCATTTATAGTATAGCAGCTGGAAAAGAGGGCAGAGTGTCACCTTATCTCAGGTGGGAATATTCTCATTGGGTGACTCAAATTTTTGCTTCTTTGTACATGTCTGCTAATGACCAAAAAGCACATTGGTCTCGTGGTGGCAAATAAATGTTAGTGAGTAGCCCAATTTGCAAAGTGTGAAAGCTGCAAATAATGTGGATCGACTGTATCTAGGATTCCCAAATCTGTTATTCCAGTAACCAATGGTTTCCACTAGTCCAGACTTACATTTCTAATTGTATTTTTGACCTTTACTTCCATTTGAATGTCTCAAAAACATTGTGTCTCAAACCTGAATATCTTTTTTTTCCCTAGACAACGGCTGCTTTTTCACTTTATCGTTAATTATATCACTACATTCACCTAGAATATAGTGATAATTCAGTCTTTTTAATTCCTTTTTCCTTTAACATCCCAGTTTTTGTTGCTAAGTCTTTGAATTTCTCCTCCACAGTATTTCTTCAATATGTCATCTCCTTTTTACCCTTACTGCCACTGATATAGCTCCAGTTCTTTTAATCTCTTTGTTTTTGTTTTTGGTACCGGGAATCGAACTCAGGACCTTGCACTTGCCAGGCAGGCAGTTATAGTGCTGAGCTGTATCCCCAGCCCCTCTTGTCCAGACTGTCACACTAGCTTCCCAGTTAGGTCTCTGTGTTTCTGCTCTGTTTTCCACATTGATCTCACCAGTATTTTTCAAAAGCACAAAGATGATCATGTAGTTCCTCTGACTAAATCTCCACTGTCTACAGGAGGAGAAAGGACAGCTCTTTATGAACTGTAAAGCTCTATCTAATCAGTAGAATTTTTATTTTTTCCAACACATCTCATTCTCTTCCCATGTACTGTAGCTGTCTCAACACATTCATTGACTTGAAAATATGTCATGTCTTTTGCACCTCACTATCATTTCCTTTGCATGGAATTTTCTTTTCTTTCTTGTACCTGATGAACACATTTCATCTTTCAGGATCATTCATTCAAATGTAACCCTGGTAAATTTTACCACCTTCGTGAGGCAGTTTCCCTATATTACTATAGAGCTTTGCATACAGTTTTTGTTCTGAGGAATTAAAAGTGTGTTATTATTTGATGCCTCTAGACTATAAGTCCTCAAGGAGGGATTATGTTCTGTTTCCTGTCTCCAATGCTTAGCCTATTAAAGAAGCTTCATAATATTTCTTGAACAAATATCACATGAACATATACACAGTTACAATTAACTCAATGTACTTATTTTCAATGTTTAATATATTTCAGTTTAAATTTTATTTATAAATTCCTTATTTTTTTCAAATCCATTGGGTTACTGCCAATGTAAAAATGCATAAGATATAAAAATGCACAGGATAATGTTGTATTAACATATGTAAATTCCAGTGAAATTTCCCAGTGATATGATCACCCATCGGGAATGGGCTCCTCCAGGTTGGATGAAATTACTCTTCCCATAGCCTCCTGGGTAAGAAGAGCCTGTATTCATTAGATTTCTTTCCTCTTTTTGTACCAGGAATCAGTCTCAGGACCTTGTGCTTGCCAGGCAGGAACTTTTGCCCCTGAGCTATATCCTCAGTTCATTAGCTCTCTAGCTCCAAGGCAAAGACATGGTGGTAGAGGGTATGGCAGAGCAAGGCTGCTTAGTTCATGGCAGCCAGGAACCAGAGCAGTAGAAGAGTGCCAGAGAGGCAGTCTACAGTGAAAACTACAGTAGTCTGAAAAAAATATCTAAGATGACCTCAGAAAATAGAAAAGCAACCCC